TCAAAATATCAACATCATCGAAAACATCTATATCATCATCATCATCATCAACAAAAAACAACAACATTGAGCATTTACCATCTTAAACATGAAAGATTGCTCGAACAAAACATGGACATGATACGATTGAGTAATACAAAATTAGGTAAAACAAACTTATAAGTTAAACAATCCTTCGTTTGTTAGCTTCAATAATAAATTTACCTAACAAATTCAGTTCTTTTACATTGTGTGTAATTACTAATTCGATAAGTTTGAATACAGATGGTTTTTGACAGTAATAATTTTTAACATATTTTCTCCTTAGATCTAGTTGACGTGGGCAGGTAAATAGAAAATGAAATTCATCTTCTATCTCTATTAGGTCACAGTTACTGTAATATCTATTATTCCTTGCAACATTCCTGTATCTTCCCGTTTCTATTGCAAGATTGTGAGCTGACATACGTGATTTGGTAATCATAATTCGACGTTGTTTTGGTATAAACTTTGTTAAAAAATATTTCAACATCACGTTATCTACCATATATCTATAGAGATCACATTTACTGATTCAAGTTCAAGTATATTGTCCTTAAGATGTATGCGTCCAGGGAACGGTTTAGTCTCACCTAGCATCAAGTTTCAAGTTTTTTTGTATTTACCAAATGCAATACAGCATATAGGTTATACATTTACATCACACATGGTTCACAATATAGTACAATATACAAGATGGCGGAGGAAAATTCATGGTTCACATTTAAGATATAGATTTTTACTGGCCTACAAGGGCTTTTCTTTTGGCAGTTGCATGCAATAAATATTTACCAAGTTTACTTAAAGTTTTGACATTTTTACATGAAAATAATTCAATTAATTTATAGACACTAGGATGTCGATAATAATACTGTTTTAAATATGTATTTCTTAACTCAGGATAAGCTGGACAAAGTAGTATAAAATGCATCTCATCTTCTACCTCATTTTTGTTACAGACAGTACATATTCTTTGGCCTCTTGGGACGGCATTGTAACGTCCTGACTCAATATTAAGACAGTGTGCTTGCATGCGATATTTACTCAATGATTTTTCGATACTAGAAGTTAAGGCCTTTGTTAAGTAAAATTGAATTTGAAAATTATCAACAAGATGTTTATATAAGTCACATTTTGAAGATTTATCAAATGCACTACGTAATTTTAGAATGAATATATCATGCAAGCGTTGAGAATACAATTCCAAAAACTGCCTTTCATTCTGTAAATTTTGGGCAATCCAAATATGGTTAATATTCTACATAAATCATTTTCAACTTGATAAATCCAGTTTAATTTACAATTTGGCTTTCTGATATGTAACTCAAATAAAGCATCATAACATGATTTTAAAACACAATTGTTAGTTTTTATCAATTTTAACCAATATTTTATGATTGTAATTTTACGCTGTACATGTAATGAATATCTGCCCGTTTCAAAATACACCATAGAACTATTAACAGTTTTCTTTACATTCGATACTTCTTTCAGAAATAGAAGATGAACATTTTCAATTGTTGGTGCTGGATAATGACCCCACACCTCACAACCATAGTTAAGTATACATGTTACATAAGTGTCAAATAGTGATATCTTAGTTTCAGTACTTAGCATATAATCCTTTATTCTATTCTTCAAAAGATAATAAGCTTTCCTTCCTTGAGATGCTAGTACTGTACCTGTTTTAAATTCATAGTTTATCTACTACCACGTGTCACTATAGTTCTTTACAAAGAATATAAATGCAATATTTCTCCGATTAAAGTAGACATTAGTTCTTAATAATAATATGTATTACACTACAACAATCTACATCATTTTGAAACAGACTATAACCAAATTGTAATCAGGTGTGAACATTGAAATGTATGCTAGGTGAGACTAGGTATTTTAGAAAAGTAAAAGAAAAGCCCTTGTGGGTCAGTAAAAATCTATATGTTAAATGTGAACCATGAATTATCCTCCGCCATCTTGTATATTGTATTATATTATGAACCATGTGTGATGTAACTGTATAACCTATATGCTGTATTGCATTTGGTAAATACAAAAAACTTGAAACTTGATGCTAGGTGAGACTAAACCGTTCCCTGAACGCATACATCTTTAGGACAATAGGTAGAAACATCAAAGGGAGGGTAATTATAGTTTGAGTCATATATGTACTACGTTTACCTGAGATATTTTACCTGTAGATCTACCCGTGATTTTACAGGTAAGAAGTTATTTACCTTGCACAAGGTTCCAAAGAATGTGAAAAAGTGTGAACAGTGATACCATGTATTGGGAAAATATCACTTCTAAATACTCTGATGTATTCAAATATAAAAGATATTAAATAATGAAACTTAATCAATACATTATAAAGTTGTTATTTGCATAAAGGAGCTCAATAGGGGAAAACTAGGTTTCAAATTACTAATATAGAGCACTATGAATTATAAAAGAAGTTATTTACATGGGGTACAATACAGTCATCTGCCTTTTGCTAGTAGAAATTAAATAACAGTAAGAATAATGCTGTCTTAGGTAATTTTTGCTTCAATATGTTTGGTCAAATCAAAAAAATGTAACATTGAAAAAAAAAGAAAAAAAGAAGAAAATGTTTGAAATAACAGTGACATGTTCATGTATTTGTGATAAATACACATATAGTCTCTATTAAACCATTTCTTTATTTTCTGATTTTGCTTTCAAAGTAAGGATTAAAAGTTATTTAACTCTGTATATTCATTAAAAAAACATAAGAATCATAGATATTTTAAGGAGATCAAGTATTCACCGTCGTAGAAAACAAATGAACTGAACAAGATGGAAGTATATCGTAACATACAAATGATCCATACTCATATTCGCCATTTGTCTATGATGCGTCTACATGTGACGTCACGTCTTAGTTACGTGTGGTAAATGTCAATGCCAATGTAATATAAGCGACATTCCGAGTGTCTTGCCTATTTTTATTTTTATTTTTTTTAATTATTTTTCTGTTTTTCACAAGTGTATTTTACATATACAAAAAAATAGCACATTCTCTCACACTCAAATCTACACGTTTAAAATAACACTGTCATCATCCTTCACCTGATTTCATCATCATCATCCTCATCATCATCCTCATCATCATCCATAATATAGCGACATATTGTCGTTGTCATCATCCTCATTAAAGACTATCATCAACTTATTATCACCATCACCACACATCATCATCTTACATCCTCATCAACAATATATCCTCCTCCTCTACACTGTATGATTATCATTATGATAAAATACCCTCAAGTCCTCATCAGTAACATATTGATCAGCATCCTCTACAATATGTGATCATCATCATCACTGACTATCATGTATCACCATCATCAACAATGTAGGATCATCCCCAACATTATCTACAATCATCTTTCATCATCAACAACATAACATTTCATCATCATCATCATCATCATCATCATCAACAACATATCATTTCATCATCATCATCATCATCATCATCATCAACAATCATCATCATCAACATCATCATCATCATCATCATCATCATCAATCAGCATCATCATCATCATCATCATCATCATCATCAACAACCATCACCATCATCATCATCATCATCATCATCATCATCAACAATCATCATCATCAACATCATCATCATCATCATCATCAATCATCATCATCATCATCATCATGGGGTGGTGTGGGGGTGGGGTAGGTATTTGTGAGACATTATTTCCAATGCAACAATTAAGATAATAAGGCTATGTCGGGGTCCTGGCGATAATAGATTTTGTTAAAAAAGTATTTGTTATTAAACTTTACTATTTTTAGGGAATATCCTAAAATTAAACTGTCCTAAAATTTAGCAGCATCAAAGCCGATTTACAATCTGATTGACTTAAAATACATTTAATTATTTCAGCTTAAAAAGTCCCCTTTTCAGTGCAAGACAGTTAAGGTGGCTCCACACTTTCGCAATTAACCAGCAAAAGTCGTTGAAACTTTCATATAATGGTTATGCAACTATGTAGAGTTGATTTTATGAAAATCTAAACATTCCAATAGTTTGGAGCTTTTTTTGGAAAAAATACCAAAAAAATGACTTTTCGTCAATTTTAATATTTTCCGTTTTTTTTTGTGTGTGGCATTGTTCGGGACAAATAACAACAATAATAAAATGAAAAGTACCATTTCTAATTAACCCTACAAATGTTTTATTTATCACAAAATATGTAACACATGTTACACAAAGTGTTTTTTATTGAATTTGTACGACCTTATTTAATAAACAAACAACAGTGGTCCGATCGGTTTGACTGTTTAAACGAAAACGTTCCTTGATGTTACTATAACTTGCACTACGATATTGAATGCCCGATACGCAATACGGAAATGACGACACGATGTACATGCACATTTCGATTAAGATAATTGAGTCCGAGCTGTACTTTTTCCGAAAGTACGTCACGAAAATGGACGCCGATGACGATGTGTGGAGCCACCTTAAGGCCGCTTGGCCACTAGGTTATAACAGCTAATGTTACATCACGGAATTAGATCCAAGTCCGTGGTTATATATAGCGGTTTAGATCCAGATAATCTACGTCTCAGATTGAATAAATTGTATTAACTTGATGTCTCTGGATTGACGGCGTTAGCCACAAATTGTTTTACACAATTAACGGGATTTTGTATTTGGTTTCTACTTCAGACGGTCGTAGATTGAAAGTCGTAACATGTTTCAAGGGGAGGTTACAAAACTAGCAAGAGTAAATATAGAGGCCAATGGAGTGTCATGTCAAAATATTCTTTTCATAGAAAGTGGTCACGAAATTTGCATATTGTTTTACAGTAATATTAAAGGATCAAATAAATGTTACATCTAACGAATCAAAAGCGTTTTAATTTAAATAGTGTCCACTCGTTTCAAATATAACCCTAATGAGGCCTCAAAATACCGTGTTATTTAGTTGAACCCCTAATAATGTACCGTGTGCAAAATCGTACATGATCACCGCGCGTAATAGAAGCTAGGTTGAGCTTGAGGTGCAGGGAGAGAAGAGAGAGGTAAAATATAACATGGAAGGAAAACATGTTCTTCTTTTGTGTGTTTTGTTGCAAAACATGACATTTTTGACAAATGCGCTGCTTTTTTGACCTGACATTTATTTTAGAACACACATACGCACGAATTTGACTGGGGTTAATGAACACGCCACATGGTCCTAGTACAGTATGTCTACCGCGTGGTTTCGGGCTTCCACACATGTTGCCTTGCTGCGTATGTTTTTCGCATCGATAAACTTACGAGCAAAGTTCTGTCACTGGTATCCTCACTTCATAATTAGACATAGTGTGCTCATTATGAAAAGGCGAATTATGTCGAAACGGGCTTTTGCAGCTATTTGAGAACATTCGGTGAAGGCGGAAGTTATCGGAACTCTCTAGGTTTACTAAGCCGTTGTCTGTTCCGAAAGGTTTGAGACCTCGTGTAACGATTTTATTGAGTAAAAGTTTGAAGAGAACACATTTGTAGCGTCACATCCCTCAGCAATATACGTTGGGATTTTCATGCCAATTTGCAATGAGCAGATCCAGTACACTGTCGATTGAGCTATATAGCTATATTCACCTATGAATTAGGATTTGTATTGAGCTGTAACTTAATTTATCCGATTTCAATTTTCATTAAATTATAGCAAAGTCTCATAAAACAAGGTTTATGGTAATTTTGACTACAAAAAGCAAACATTTAGATGTTTATTTTCATTTTTCATAAATGTAAAAATCCGATTTGTTGCATCATTATTTTTTTTAAAAGAATACTTGCTAATATATTTAATATCTTCAGTTATCAACCTAACCTAATGATACAATCTTCTTTTATAAGTGTCTTTGTTTCGTTTTCCTTCAAAAAGAAAATCGCATGAAAGTAACTTTTAAAAACCTATTCCAGATAGGTCAATAGAGCTATTACAGGTCTTTACAGCTATATAGCTTGATCGGCTGAGTGTACTGCGTTAACCTATTTTTTTCCGCATTAGTCTGCATTTTATTTTGGTTCTTTCACATGAACAATGAATCTCCTAGTATGGAGCGTTGACTGTTTCTTTGCACATGTACGGATAAAAAAAATGATATAATATAGATATATGTAAAGTTAAACAGAACAGGTTGGGTGCATATCGGTAATCCTGCATTTAGAAAGCAGTTGCACATTTCCGATTAAATAATTTTATTAATACTGAAATGGGGAATAATGTGAAACACAAAGTTCTTGTGAACAAAAAAGGGCGTTGCTAATAGTATTGCCCATATGTGCCATTTTGCACAACCTGCTGAAAGAATGGCAATCGTTATCAGAAGGGTTATTTGGCTAAACATAATGCTTTAAGCGACTTCTTTTTGGGTACTAAGTGATGGATATTAACTATATTAATTAGACTGGAAGCATCCCTAGATGGTGGAGATTCAAAATTGTACAAATGGTGGGTCTGACCCTCCAGGGGGCTGAGGGGCCAGTACTAAAAAGAGTATTTGGCTATATTGCTTGAATCGACTTTTTCCCTGGAACTAAGCGATGGATATCAACCATATTTGACTGGGAACATCCCTAGGTGAAAGTGATTAAAAACTTTACAAATGGTGGGGCTGAGGGGTGGGCACTTTGGCTAAATTGCTGTAAACGACTTCTTCTGTAGAACTTTGCCATATTTGGTCGGAAACATTCATGGGAGGCAGGGATTCAAAATTATACAAATGTTGGGGTTGACCCCGGGCTAGGGGTGGGGCCAAAAAATGTTTATTACTTGGAAATGGTTGAGATCTCCACCGTATAACCATAGAATGCATGATCCCTGGGTCATAACTTTGAAACTTTGACCCTAGGGTTTGACCGAACCCCCTAGGGACCTTGTTTCTGAGTCACAGCTTTGAAACAGTTGAGATCCCCACCCCATAACCATACATTAAATTGCTGGACATGAAAAATCTTAATACAGATATGCTATTGGGATTTGCCTTGTGGTCTGGCATATTCCCTTGGATCTCATTTGGAGAATATTTCACCATGATTGCTTAGATATCCAGGTGAGCGATACAGAGGGTGGCCTCTCTTGTTTAAATTGTAAATTTCAGGACCCCCGAGCTATCCGTTAAGTTTACTTAGTTTATATATGGAAATAACACTTTTGGGTATATTTTGACAACTTTCTGTATGAAATTATTTTTACTTGGTGAGAATTATCCCTGGAGGAAGATGGTTTCAAATTGTAAAATTGAGATTCCTACCCCAACCGCTGGGGGCAGGGTGGGGCCCCAAAGGGAAAATTAACCAATATTTCAAAAATGTTATCGAGACTCCGGAGGTATTACAGTCATTTTCTCTGCATTGAAAGAAAGATCATTAGGGCTTTAACTTGTAAATTTCAGGACCCCCGAGCTATTCGTTCTCCCTTGAGGAGGAGGTAAAGTTTACTTAACCCTTAGGCTGCTATATTGATTTCTATGTAAAGGGACACCACTGCTGAATTAATTATTGAAATTTAAATTAATTTACTTGATTTTTCAAATGTGCATAACTTGGAAAAAAAATTATATGTGAAAAAAAGTTGTATGAAAATTGTTCGTTGTTGTCTCTAGTTTATATGAACGTTTTCAATTCTTAAGTTGCTTTAGTATTTACCTGTACAGGTGGTTATAAAGGTAAGAAAATGTGAAACTATTAATTAATCGGATTTAAGCAAGAAGAAGATCATTTTAAAATTATTTTCGTCCGCAAATGTGATTGGCAAATGATAACAGATTATAAACTTCATTTTTGACATAAGACGCTGTATATTTACACGGAGATTCTCAGGTAAAAAGGTCAGGTATTTCATCAAGAATTGCATGTGATTTGCTAAAGGTTTCAGGTCGCCACTCAATACATTTACTGTCATAAGTCAGCATATAGATTTATATAAGCTACGGTCTAGTTTATGATTAAATTACCGATGAAAAGTTTGAAGCAATAAATCGGCTCAAAACGTGTCAATGTCAATGCTCAATTCGGCCTCGCCTGTAGACGACATGTGCGCCTCGGTCCGCCAGTATTTTCCTGTTTGCGTAGGGCACAAATCCGTTCATTGGAAAGTTGCATATTATGTTACACCGAAGTATTTCCACATCAACCATGCCAAGCCCTTCAAAACCTTTATTATCATCGTAGGTGACGATGGGAAATAAATGTTTACCATCATATTCATGGCTTCAATCTACACGTCCGCCATTTTTATGACTTTTTTTTTATATGAAATTCTCTCGCACACCTTTAGTTATTACTAGGGTACACTGCCGTGAATATCGAAAGTAATGACAAAACAACCAATCAGAAGCCTTCTACTATACACGTTCGTGTTTGGTATAGCAACAACCCGACTTCACACTTCCTGGCTACCGATCAAAACCTACAGACTGAGAAACGACATGTTGCGCGTAGCAGCCTAAGGGTTAAATTTATATAGGGAAATAACACGTTTGGGTATATTTTATCCATTTTCAGCAGAAAATTACTTTTACTTAGTCAAAATCATCTTTGGTGAATGAGAGTATTACATTGTAAAATTGGGATTCCTGTCCAATCTCCAGGGGCTAGGGTGGGACCCCAAAGGGAATATTTACCAATATTTTCAAATTCTTATCCTTTGATGACATGACAAGTATTGTATTTCACTTAGTATACATGCTGATTTCTACATCACATCTAAACGATAAAATAAAGCTACCAGTATCTATGATATAACTCGGGTGACCTTGGGCCTCTTGTTATCAATATCATCATGTCGGATCAAGTGATCAAACATTGAATTTACGAATTTGTCCTGTGTTTTTGTATTCAACAGTTGTGTAGAGTAAGGGAAATCAGATAATGAGTGGACAAACGTGTTACAACTGTGGCAAGCCTGGTCACATAGCCAGGGAGTGCAGCGGGGGAGGTGACCGCTCCCGCGGAGGCGGCAGAGGAGGTGGTGGTGGCCGATCATCCGGTACGTCTTATTTAGTTGACCACAAATATAAAAAGAATTTACAAAGAGATTTGTCTTCAAGCAAAATGAAAATGATGAGGAAAGTAAATGATTTGATTGGTATATATATTCATCTAATTATCATTTAGCAGACCAGTGATGTTACTTCTGAAAATATTCAAAGTGAAGATATCCTGCCAGTTTGCCTTTATATATATATGCTAATTCTTTAAGTACTACAGTGGAACCCACTTATTATGATAACGGTTATTATGATATTTTTCCCAATTTTTCCTTTAACTAAGCAAAAGATATAGTTTATTAGCTCACCTGGCCCGAAGGCGTACTACGGCGTCCGTTAACTTTTTCTTTTGAACAACTTCTTCTGAAGGAGAACTGGAGGACCTTGGGTCATGATAGTGCTAGTCAGGGGTAAAATGTCAACATGGGTTAAAAGCTTCAACAGTCTTCTCAAGTTCCATAAGGCCCAGGGTCATAATATTTGGCAAGTGGGTACCTGAGATAGAGTACTATAAAGTTTCCTCATTAAAATGACCTTGACCTACTTAGGTCACATGGCTCAAATATGTTAAAAACTTCAAATAACATTATCCAAAGAAGCATTTGGACTAGTCATGATAATTGGGTATGTTATGTAGATCAGCAGTTCAAATCTTTTTCATTCTTACAGTTATGAGGTCAAAGGTCAACTTTAAGTGCTGGTCTGGGTCAAAGGTCAACATGGGTTTAAAAGCTTTAACGATCTTAAGTTCCATAAGGCCTAGGGTGATGATATTTGGCCAGTAGGTACCAGGAATAGTACTATAAAGTTTCCTCTTTAAAATGACCTTGACCTACTTTCAAGGTCGCAGGGGTCAAAATGTTAAAAACTTCAAATAACATTATCCAAAGAAGCATTTGGTCTAGTCATGATACTTGTGTATGTTATGTAGAACAGCAGTGCCAATATTTTTCTTAATTACAATAACGAGGTCAAATGTCAACTTTAAGATCTAGCCGGAGTCAAAGGTCAACATGGGTAAAAGCTTTAAAATTACAATTTCAAATTTCAAACAGCAATATCTTGAAGCATTTAAGAGATGGTCTGAAGTTACCTATATGTCAGTTTCATGTAACAAAGAAACAGGTTAGCGATACAGGCCCTCTGGGCCTCTTGTTTTGCATCACAATGTAAAATTTTCAAGTTATAGTTGATGGCTGTCGAAGAGAACCATTAATGATGGGAACAGATGACGAGAGTTGAATGGAATTTTTATTAATTTTTGAAAAATCTTTTTGTTTCAGGCAATTGCTATAACTGTGGCAAGTCTGGTCATATGAGCCGGGACTGCGGAGAAGCTGCTCAAGAGAAAGTTTGCTATGGCTGTGGCAAGCCTGGCCACATTGCTAAGGACTGTGCCAACCCAAGTTCTGGAGGTGGAGGTGGTGGTGGACGTGACCGTCGTAGTGGGGGTGGTGGTGGCGGAGCTGGCTGCTACAATTGTGGTGGAGCTGGCCACTTTGCAAGGGATTGCACTTCTGATGGCGGACAACAACAACAACAACGTCGTGGTGGCGGTGGAGACCAAAAATGTTACAAGTAAGCTTTAAATTACAATATTTGCTTATCTATCGACTCCATCCAAACATTATCAAAAAGAAATTATAACATAATCCGAGAGACTTAATATTTCATTGATGTGATGTGCTTTTATGCCTAAAGATATATTGCCCAACTTTTAAAAGGACTTTTAGTCCAGTTGTCCTACCTGAAAAATTGTCCAAATATCAACTTTTTTTATTACTAATATTTATGCTAGTCAAGAATGTTGCTGCTGTGAGGTGCTTGAATGGCAGGTTCTAACAACATTGATACGTATGGCGATCCAGACTGAAGTCAAAATAAAGCTTGAATCACAGCGAAATTTCGGTCATTAGTTAAAGTCTGTCGCACAATCTGAGGGCAGTCAATGGGGTATTTCTCCGTCACCATATATATACATCCCTAGTTGAAAATCCAATGTAGGGAGACGGTATCACAATTTCCGCATATTCTAATGTTTGAATATTAAACTGATGAATATTGTATGTTTATTATTGACAGAACAGTGTGTTCTCTCAATATTTCTAAGCAATCTAGGCAATTTGGTAGTTTTTTTATCAATGACTCGCATGTGTCCATTTTTCTGTACTTCAGGAAACCGGCTGCCTATCACTACTGTGAAGTTTTTCAAGAAAGATAACTCTTACATGCAATTGCTGTATATATATGGTTATATGGTTTTATTATAAAATGTCCATTTTAAATTGTTTATAGATAATTTATTTTACACAATTTCAGCATTTATTGAATTGATATACATTAATGCAATACTAATCTCTACCGGGAAATGGTGACAATCCCATTATCTTAAGGTTTGATGCAGCCTGATCAGAGTTCATGCTTCTATTTCTTAGGTGTGGTGAGTGTGGACATTTTGCCAGGGAGTGTAGCAATCCCAGCGAACAGAAATGCTACAAGTGTGATAGGGTTGGGCACATTGCTCGGGATTGTAACGAAACCAACGAAGACTAGGAAGGGCCTTCCACCCTGAAGTCGGGGGCTCACAAATAACACAAGTTGTGACGACATCATGGACAAAATAATAGTTGTAACATCTCCTTGTTTGTTACCATTTGATAACAGCATTTGTAGAAGCTGTGTGTGAACCTCCCTTGTTTTTTGTATGTTATATGGTGTACCATAACCTATTTCCATTTTTAATTTCTTTTGTTGAAGTCATTAGTATTAATTTTTGCCTAGCCATTGATTCTTGGCTACTGTACGTAATGTGTTAGGGGAATAGATCTATTTTACCCTGGTATAAGCACTATTTGCAGACTATACAGAGAAACAAATTCACATGCTTTTTCGGTAAGGGGGGGGGGGGGGGGGGGGCGGCAAAAAAAAGGGGGACTTCATTTTTTTTGCGAGGGAGGTCATACAAAAAAGTGACATTTATCTACTATACTGTCAGTTTCTGTTTTGTGAAAAGTTAATTACTATTATGTATTTTGAATAAGCATCAGCACCTTAATACCAGGAACAAAGTTATTGTCTGCATCAAATCCATAAATAACTCTAGATTAAATTTAGATAAAGAGAAAAAAAGGGACTCTCCTGTCTGTGAACATTGTCTAGAAACTGAAAATGTTATTAACAATGTCATTATTATTAATACATTTATAAGAAATTATTCGATGGTCATTCAGATATAAGCTGGAGACATGGTAGGGTAATGGAATTCTTGTTTGTTTATTTTATGCCAAGTTAGTTCTGGGATTAATTACCCATGTTCATTTAGTTGAAAATCTTGCCCTTATTGCAGACTGGTTTTGCTACGGACTGGTGTTTTTGATTGGTTTGTTGTATTGGGGTGGCAATCCACCAGCAATAGGCCAGGTCAGTCAAGTGTTCGATGCTTATTCATTACCTGTACATAGATGTTTGTATTGTGTTTTTGTAAACTCCGAGTCATGGTGAGGTAGGGCACGTCGGTCCAGATTCATCATTTATCAATAGTTACATCACATTTTAAAATTTATGGACTTTTCAACCCTCATATCTATTAAAAACTAAATCTGGGAGTTGAATAGTTCTGATTGTTGAGCCATAGTGAATTTGCTGTGAATTGAGATTAATTTACAGTGAAAATAAATTCGGGTATTGAAGACAAAGTGTGCAACTTTGAACCATTCTTCATGCATACATACATGATCAATGGATACAAATATGTTATTTGTTTCCTTTTTAAAGGAAGGATTGTAAGAGAGCTGTATTGTGTTCCATACTAGACAGCTTACCATTATAATATCATGAGCAAGGCATTCAATTTATATTGTAATGTAGTTGTGAAGAGAATTTTGTTATCTGTTTTTTGTAGAGTCGAGATCTTGGCTATTTGTGGGCCAAAAGCCATTTTAATCGGGTAATTTTGAGATGCTATAAAGTAGCTGGTATTCAAATGAAAATTTTAATCCAATGTAGTGTTTAATACAATTTTTTAAAGTTTTTCTTCAATGAAAAATTAAAAGGTGTTATCAAAATTCACAGTTTTATGAAATACAATGAAATGAAAATATAAAAAATAATTTGGTTGTAGTGCAATAAGTGAGTTATCCCACACGTGTTCTTCATTTTTTGGGGAAACTGATGCATGATTCTGTTTACGCTGCGTGTCGGCGTCCGCATGTCTTGCAGTATAAGTTTCCGACGGAGACAAATTTGTATAGTAGGTAAAATATGTTTGAACCTATTGTCTGGAGGAGGTCAAAATTTGTCATGCTTGTAAGCTGACATCAAAGTTTAGATGGATAAATATTTTTATACCTTTGTTAGGCAGATTTGATTTCACAATTGTGTGTGAAATACAAATTTGAATACTTTTAAAAATATTCAAATATACAATGGAGCCTTTCACCAAACAAAATAAAATGGTTCACTTTTGACTTTTTTTCATTGTTCAAAACATGAATATTCAAGAATTTCATGGTGAATTGTTCTGTTATTTTGGTTATTTACTGCGTGAAACCTTATAATCGTTGGCAGAATGCAACGGTTTGTGGTGGCCATTATACCTGCTTGGTGGAATGGCTTCTGTGCTGGTGATGTTGATGGTCGGGAGGAGATGGTGTCAAAATAGGAGAGGATAAAACAGTTTCTCTGCACCTCCAAGTCTAGATAGTTCTCTTATAGTGCACCATTAGCATTGGTTGATGATGTAAACTAGTAGATTTTAAATTTAAACAGAACTATCTAGACTTGGATATGTCCCGTGTATTTGGACATTGTTGGAGAATGTGTTTTTGTATCCCCTGCTATAGTCTACAGGTCGTAGGAGGTTGGAAGTTGGTGAAGAGGAGGTGGTGTTCACATTCTCTCTAAGGCAGCTTATTTTTCAAGTTGGTGGAGTGAGGAGTTTATATAGTTTATCAAATTATATTACTAAGAAAATGTTTGATCAGCCCAAGCTTGGCTTGTGTTAATGCTTCATTTTGGAGATTATCAGTTGGTGATATTTCATAATCTTGTAGAAACATGATATGAAGATGTAAATTTGGAAAAACACTAGTGTATTTGGGGTATCTGTACTTCTTAGTACACAAATGTTGCATTCCAACATGAATCTGCAGATGTGTTCTTCTACACAATTATTCGATATCACCTATACTGAAAGACCAAAGTCCACTGCAGCCAAAACTTTGTAATCTGGATAAAGAGGAGCAGGGACTTGCGTGAAGAAAAAACAGCATTATGTACTTATGTTCCCAAAATCATTCCAAGATGATTGGAAGAAGTCGTTTTTCAGTTGATAGGCGGCTTTATGTGTCCAGTGCATTGTTCTGGAAGCGATGAACTTATTCAATTATGAAAATTTTCCAATAAAACTGATGTACAAGGAGGTAACCTTTTGTTTTGTTCGTTGTTTGTTCTATGTTTTAGTCTCGTATTTTTTAAACAAAGAAATAAAACAAGAGGCCCAATGGTCCTGCATCGCTCACCTGGTATAAAACTCACACTTGCAACCTTAAAAGTGATATAAAATAAAGCTACAGGCAAAATATCAGTATTTATGATTAAAATTCATTCAAAAGACCCTGTGATTGAAAGTCGAACAAAGTCATTATGTTGAACACATTGTATAGCCTTTCATCTCGGGATGCAATGTATAAACATCCTGGGACCCATGGTTATTCAGAAGAGGTTGTTTAAAAGATTTTAAACAAATTTGACCCCTGTGACCTTGAATATAAGTCATTCACTTTAACAAAGTAGTCCTTGATCCCAGCATATGCTACTGACTAAATATCAACATCCTGAGCCTTTTGGTTATTCAGAACAAGTTGTTGAAATATTTTCAACATATTTGCTCCTTGTGACCTTGAATATGATTCAAGGTCATGCATTTATACAAACTTGGTAGCCCTTGATCCTAGTATGCTACTGACTAAATATCATCACCCTGGGCATTTTGGTTATTCAGAAGTTGTTACAAAGTTTTTAACATATTTGACCCCTGTGACCTTGAAAATGGGTGAAGGTCATGCATTTGAACAAACTTTGTAGCCCTTCATCTCAGCATGCTACTGGCCAAATATCATTACCCTGGGCATTTTGGTTATTCAGAAGAAGTTGTTTAAAGTTTTTAACATATTTGACCCCTGTGACCTTGAATATGGGT